ATATATATATATATATATATATATATATATATACATAGATAGACAACTGTTTGTTATCATCTATTAATGAAACGAATAGAAAAATAACTACATTTTTTTCTTGGTCTCTATTCTCCTTTCCATGTGTCCACAAAAGCAGGCGGAAACTGCATGAAGGAAAGAATGGATGTGGCAATGAAGAAGGGAGAGGAAACGAAAGACGAAAATCAAATTCGTTTGTTTTCTTCTGATGAGAACAGCTGTTTTCGTCATTTCTTCCTCCCACTTCTCAGTTTTTGATCTCAAAAACTTCCAGTAATGGAAGGAACAAGTTCTCGGAAGAAACAAAAAAAAGAGCAGGAAAAAATGAAGGCAGCAAAAATTATTTTAACAAATGTGCTTTTAGCTTCGCCATGGTTTTTATTGTTTCTTGTCACTCCATTTAAAAAATTTTGCATTTATAATCAGCATTTCAAAATTGTCTAATTGGAACCTTGTAGAACTTAGCGCAGATAACCAGGGCTCTTTCTTTCGTCTTCTTCTACACTCCTGGAGCTACTCCTCTTTACATAAACTGCTTTAGTCTTCAATGACGAAAATTTTAGTGGGAGAATAAAATGGAAATAACAAGAAACTTCTGAGAAAAAAAGCCTATTTTTGATATAATCAGTCAAATTAAAAGACAGTTATAAGAGTGATGAAAACAACGAAAATGACACAGCAAGCAGCAACAGAACTGGCAAAACTTTGGCAAAAGAAAAAGACAGTACAAAAAAAAAAGAAAGAAACCAGAATAACAAGAGAAATCTTTCGATTGAAAGAAATAAGTCACTGAAAAATCCAAAGGGAAAAAACAAAAAAAAAGAGACAACTAGAAAAAGCTTAGCTATGGTACTCTTTTTGGCATTTATTTTTTTCTATATTTGCATCTTTTTTTTTTTGAAAAGATATGGAAAACAATTTTTAGTAATTCGGCGCTTCATGACTGACTAGCTAGATTAGTTTGCCTATAACAGACGCCTTAACTATTAATATTTTTTTTTTTTGCTTCTTTTTACAATACTACCAATAATTAAACGGGTGATAGTTGACTGATTTCAAGTTTGACTTGTTAAACCTCAATGTTTCTTCTGTACTTTTTGGTTCAACCAAGTTAGCAGTTTCGAAAAAAAAAAAAATGCTGAAAGAGACACTTTGTCATTCTCGACTTATTATCAGAAAAACTAAATTGGTAGGTTCAACATTCAGTAAAAAATAATGACAAAGAATGAGAAACCGCTGCAGTAGCATTATTTTTTGGCATTGCTTAGCATAGCGAGAAGTGGTAAGCGAAAAAAAAAAAGAAAGGCTGTTGTTTCAAAATATTCAAATTTGTCAAGAGCACCTTTGTTTTCTTTTTCTTTCTTCATTTGCCGTCTCTGTCTTACTAAGATTAAAGAAAATTTGAAGAAACAAAAAAAAGACCAAGAAAAATTCAAAAATTTCTAACCTGAACTGATCAACAGTTTGAGCCATCACTAAACGTTGTCGAATATCCATATCAGCAAACAGTGTCGCAAATGTTCGCGTTGTTTCCAAAGCAGTTTTTGTTCCTTTCTTAAAAAAAAAAAGTGTTTGTTGTATAAACCTTTTTGGTTTTTTGTCTGATATTTTAAAAATACGTATTGGTTATGGTATTAGCAGTTTGGTCTACGGTAATAAAATGAATCCTTTAAAAAATGATGTTAAAGAAGGAAGTTAGCGACGATTTTTGGTTAATTGATAATTTCGCTAAATGCATTAAACGTTGTCAACAATCTTTAAAGATGACGTATACATATAAAAAAAGTTCAAATTTTTTTTGCTTTTTTTCTTACTGTCGCCCTTTCTTAGTCTTGCTTTATAATTAACGCTTAATCAGCAAATTTCCGTACCGCTCGGGAGGGCGCAATTACAATAATGATAAATCGAAGATCCTGCATTGTTCGGCCTAAATTTGTTGGATGACTCAACCGCGCAATTGCGACGTGTCTGTGCTGTACCGTATTTAACATACATCTGAAAAAAAAATCAACCAAAACCTTCACGAAACCGATTTTCAGACAAAAAAAAAAAGCACAGTGGCAGATGAAAAAAAATCATGTAATATTTGCTGAAAATTTGTCTAACAGCAAAACAAAAGCAGTCTGCCTTGTTGCTTATCTTTTATTTGAATAAAATTTAACTAACAAAACCACAGAAGCCTGTTACTAAATCTCCCAAAATTTATGAAGTTTTTATTGCTAGAAATTGTTCTTTTTTTGCTAAGAAACATAAAAAACTTCTTTTTTTTCTTTTTTTTTCTTGCAATCACAATGAAATAGAAGAAAGCAAAACGACAGAAACCTACAGTGCACATATCCAAGTTTGGTCGTAATCAAACGTTCCACCAATAGTACCCGTCGTACAAATACTTTGAACTGTCCTACTCAAAATGTGAACTAAAGAAAAAAGTTTTCTGATAAAAACTTATGTAGAAAAAGAAAGTGTATTTCGTAAGTGTATAAAGTTAATTTGAGTTAGAAAGAACCGAAAACCTGAAAACAAAAGCGTTTTTTTTCTACTTATTTTTTTCAACCTTCCAACGCTTACAACAATTAATTTGTACTAATTTGAAATAAATATTTTGAAAGTGAAACTGACATTGGTTCCCAGCATCTTGAGTGAATAGAACTGACCGAACTTGTTCACTGGTAAACTCAGGTTCCTGTATATCCATTTCATGAATGATTCTGTAATCGATAAATTTGTTCTGTTATTGATGAAGATCATTGACCATATGAGGGAAAAAAATTAAGTGTTGTTTCTTTTTGTTTTTCAAGTATCCTGTTGCTTTTTTTCTTTTGCTAGTGCTGCGTAAACGCTTAAACCGCAGATAAGACTTAACTTTACGATATGTACCGTATCAGTGTGTTGCTTTATGACCGAGAAGGTTGAAAAATTTGCGCAATACCACAAGGGATTTATCTTATCAGATTTTTGGACTTCTGACACGTTCTGTGAGAGCTTTCTATATTGCGATATTTTCTGGTTTTTATTGATTACGCCTATGGGCTTACATGGAAAAAACAGTTCAGAAAATTGTTCAACGTGCTTCCAAACTGTATTCAGATTAATGTACTTTCAACATGAACACTTCTGAACATCAAAAACATAAAAGTGAAAACGTATTGGTGAACCAGAACGGAGAAAACAGATTGACTTCTTTCGCAAAAATATAGAGTAAAAAGGCGTTTTTTTGGTTATTTTAAACAAGAAAGAAAAAAATTAATTGATAAGTGTTGTTGCCTATAGGAAACCATCGCTGTTGTTGTAATGACGATGATTTTGTTATTCAAAATAAAGGGTTCAAAGTTGTGCATTAAACGATCAGTCTAAACCATTTACTACATAACAACTAAACTTTTTTTCTCTAATGTTTTTTTACTTTTTTTTTTTTACTCAATAAGTTTTGGGAAAAAATTTTTTTTAAATAAACTTTTGTGTACACATTTATCATTTTGGGATAAGAAACAAACATTCACACACATTCATTCACACGCAACAAACAAATAAGCACAAATACATGCAAAAAATTCCTCTTTTGTTCTATTCTTTCTTTCTCCCTTTTTTTCTTGCTCTTTTTTTGGTTTTTCCCCTCCTTATATATGACTAGTGACAATGAATAGCCATGTGTATATACATATTGGGATGCTTGTTTGTTTGTTGTTGCTGTTGCTGTTGGTGCTGATAGTGCTAATGCTGTCTGTTGGCTAACTGAATGATTGACTGACTGGCTGACTGACTTGTTAAGTGCCGGACTGGTTAACTGCTTGATGATAGATGTTGATAAGAAAGATAGAAAAGCGGATGGAAAAAGGGCCAGAAGCGGAAAGAGGATTAAAATACGACGATGAGAAAGCCGAGTTGAAGGCAGTTATATTTGATTGAATTGCTGCGATTCTGAGTTGGCGACACTTGCAGCAACTTTTAGCCAACAGTCATCAGCATCGCCTTCGCTATCACCATCAGTAACAGTGTTACCGCAGTAACAACAACTTTTGACTTACTGACGGTACATCATTCATTAAAAATTAGTCTATTATATCACAAGTTAGAAGTAAGGCAAGAGTAGAAGCCGAAGTAAATCTAATGAGTCACTGTTAAAAAACATGGCTTACTGTTAGACGGCTTGAAATGGTATTACTGATTTGTTCTTCGGAGAACGTTTACTGAGCTTAGAGGCCAGATATAAGCTATCAACGGTTTTATCAGTGTAGCTTATTGCCAGCTTGATGGTTACAATAATACTTTGAAATTAGACTTTTCTTCCCTCTTCAAATCCTCTTCCTATTCACATTTCTCCCTATCCCTCCCCTCTCCGTCACTCTAACCCGATTCTTCTCCTTCCTTATATCCACCGTTCCACTATTTGTTCAGCTTCATTCAAAAACTGCTATTATTATCATCATTGGTAATGGTGATAGTGATAAATGTTTTTTTTTCTTTTTAGAGAGAGAGGTTCAGTTTGAGCGTTCTTTTTACTTTTTTTTTTCACTTGACAATCCGCTGGGGAGTTTCATAAATCAAACAAATAATTTTTTTGTTTAAAAAAATTTATTTCCAGCAAATGGTCAATTTTTG